CTTTTCTCGCGGGTTGCAATCTGCTGCCCATGTGGTGAAGCTCCTCTCTGCACACTCCTCTTGGTGACCTTGGCGTTTGCAGCAGGCTGAGATGGTGAGTCCACACGTGCCGACTCATCCTCCAACCCCTCCTCCGCAGCAGGACCAGCGCCTTGCTGCTCACCACCGCCACTGTGGTCACTGGTCAGCTCTGACCCAGGGAGATCCTCAAGGTGCAGCTGAACCTCCTCCACTGCAGACCGCTCAATCTTCTGCAGACGCAAGCCAATCTGCACCTGCTGCTGCTGCTGCCAGTCCTTGTACATGACGTCCTCCACAAACTTGACGTCACGGCTGACCAGCGACTTCTTGCTCTTGGGGTCCCACATCAGCCACCCCTTCGAGTCAGGAGCCATCCCAAGATGGACAGCCCACACAGCAGCAACTTCCAGCTTGTGCCTCTGCTCCTTAGGCACGAACACAAGCCTCATGCAGCCCCACACACGCAGCATGTCAATAGATGGCTTCTTCCCAAGCCAACGCTCGTACGGCACCCAATGTTTGTCGCCAACATGCGTTAAGACCCTGTTCTTGACCGTGATGACATGGCGAACGGCATCAGGCCAGAACTTGTAGGGCATCCCAGCAGCCCCCAACAAGGTCTTAGCCGCCTCGCCAATAGTCCGGTTGGCACGCTCAGCAATGCCGTTCTGCTGCGGTGTTCCAGGGCAGGTCAGCTGATGTCGGATGCCATTTCTCTTGAGGAACTTGGTGAATTCCGCTCCAAGGAACTCTCCACCTCGGTCGCTCCTCAGCACCTTCACCAGCCGCATCGCTTGCCGCTCCACCATCGGCAACCAATCCTCCTTGATCGCCGCTGCAGCATCGCTCTTCTTGGACAAGGGACGCGCCTACGTGAAACGGCTCCATTCGTCCACCATGGTAAGGAAGTACAGCACTCCCCCAGTCCCCTCAGTCCTCATAGGACCCACCAGGTCCATGCGCACCACCTCCAATGGTGCCTTCGCTGATCCCTCCGCTCGTGGAAACGGGAACCGCGCAAACTTGTTTTGCATGCACGCCTCGCAGCTGCCATAGTGAGCGCCATATCCTTGCAGTTGCAGCCCATGCACGCACTTCTCCTTGTGCATCACCTCCAATGTGGAAACAGCTACGTGTGCGAGCCGCCGATGCCAAGTCTCCCAATCCGCTTGGCCCGAGGTAGCCGACGCCTTCACCGCCGCGCTTCCTCCAATCAGCTCCTCTCCTTGCACACCTTGCTGCTCCTCCTCGGTGACGCTCTCCTCCATAGATGCCGCCGCTGCCGCCTTGCCCGATTTCCGCCAAGGGAGGACCGGGATCTGCCACATCCGCTTGTGGACATCCCCTTTCCACTGCAGGTCCCAAATCAGCCGCTCATCGTTGTAGGCACGATAGCGCTCCGAGCCAATCGTCTCGGTGTTCACACCCGCATCTCCCAATCGGCCGGTAGAAATCAGGTTCGCGCACAAGTCCGGCACCCACAGCACGTTCTTCAGCCCCACGAGCTCTCCATCCGCTCCCATGAACTTGGCGCATCCCATGCCCATGACCTTGGCCTTGGCGCCCGTCGCGGATGTGACTGTAGAGATGGGTGCGGGCTGAATTTCATCGAGTAGGTCCGCACGAGGAGTCATGTGCCAAGAGCTCCCCGAGTCAATCACCCAATGGGTGAGGGGGTGTAGGACAACCTTGGCAGCCATAGCGAGGTCGGTTGCGCCTTCGTTCACGAAGAAGAAGAACCCGGCCTTCCGCTCCTCAGATTTGCCGCCTTTCTCCTCATCCTTCTCCTCTCCACTAGCTCCCATGACTCCCCCACTCCTCTTGCCACCATGCTGGTTGCTTGATGAAGGCGGGGTCCAATCCTTGGGTCGTTGGTAGCACTTCCGCCAACGGTGTCCGCGCTTCTTGCAGTAGAAGCACACCTCCCCTTGACCCCCGCCGCCATCCTCCTTAGGGTTATCCTTGTTCTTGCCCTTCCACTTCTTCTTGAAGCCACTTTTTCCACCTCCAACTCCATAGCCAGCCCCCTCCTCCGAGCGCTCCACACTCCGCCGCCGCAAGTCCTCCTCTAGGATGCGCGCGCGAATGTAATCCACGCTCCATTGGGGTTGTTGGGAGTTGAGGTTGATCGCTAGGGCAGACCATGACTCCGGCAGCCGTATCACGATCTCCACGGATTGCACGAGCTCCGGGTACACCACACCGCCGCCTTGTAGCTTCGTGAAGATGTCCCGCATCTCATCCAACACCGGTTGCATCGGCTCTCCATCAACGAACTTGATGTCGCGCAGCCGCCGCGCGAGTAGCACGATGCCAGTAGCATGTGTCGGTGAGTGCACATCCAGAAGCTTCCTCCAAGCCTTGGGGCCACACTCTGGATCACCCAAGAGGTCCTTGATGTGGTCAAGTTGTCGCCCGCCAACCGCTTGCACCATGAGCATGTACGCGTCGAACGATCGCTTCATCCACGCTCCTTTCAACTCCGCGGCCTCCGGCATCTTCTCCTTCCCCTCCACCAAATCCAATAGCTTGTATTGGGTGTACATCAGTCTCATGCGGAAACTCCAGTGCTCGTAGTCCTCCCCCATGAATTTCTCAATAGAGAAAGCTTTCACAGGATCCACGGTAGTAGGAGATGGTGTTAGAAGAAGTAGGTAGCGTAGGGTTGGCTGGTTGGTGAGTCCCCACTCCACCACCAGCAACTCCCCCCTGCTCTCCTGCCTCTCTACTTCTATCCATCTCGCCACTAGCACCTCCGGAGTTCGTACCAACCATATTGAGGCCTTATGAACGGTGGAAACTTGAGAAATCGTTTGGAGAGAATTCTGCCAGAAATTTCGATTCTACGAAAATCGCCGTCGCGGACTGAATACTTCGAATTAGAAAGCGGTTCGACCACCAATCGAAAGTTCACGAGCAGAGCTACTAGAAAATGGTCTCACGTGACAACATTGGTTGAGAATATTTGACGATTCGTCGTCTCAAAGTCGACAACCCGCTCTGATACCACTTGTTGTTCAGGATCCGTCACTTTGAGAGCTTACGACGAACTCATTACTCAACTAAACGTAAATCCGCTCAGTAGGAAGTTGCGCCTTAGGCTTATCTACCATCTCCAAGTTGAATCAGTCGTTAAGATGGTCTAGAGAGTGAGAATCATATGAAAACGTCCAGCAGCCGCATGACTAGAATGGTGGAGGAAGTACAAGCATTAGAGGCATAGGAAGTTGGAGTTGGGAACCTCCAAGAGAACCATGAGAGGGAAGGGGTTCTCCAAGAGTTAGGGAAGGATGGTAGGAACCTTCCTAGCAGCAAGGATGCAACCCTCATCATGAGGTCCTTGAGGTGTCACATGCAAAATCCAATCTAGTTGGATTTTGCCTAGGTGTTGCAACATTTGCAACCCATGCTAGAAACTTCTAGCCACCCCAATCCAAAAGTCAAAGTTGCCTTCCCTAACCACCCAACCAAAGATCCCTTTATAGTCATGTCCCAAGTAATCACCCAAATTAGATATAACCCCAAAAGGTAATAAGAAATCCAAGTCTTGGAAATCTTGTAACTTGGGCGATCTTGGTCGGAATGAGGCGATCCTGGTATCGTTGGAAAGCTCTGGATTTCTCCTGCATGATCAAGCATTTAAACTTGGAGAAAAACACAGAGATGAAAATATCCAACAGCCATGCACAATGACATATGCCCATGCAAACAATGCACGCATGAATAGCACGAGCACTCGGCAGGACGTTAGGATGACATGCACTCAGTATGACGTGCATCCAACACCTAGGTGGCAACCTGGGCTCGTGATACCATGTCAGAATGAACAAGTGTGTTTGCACTAGGAAAGAGTTGGGTACAAGTAGGAAACCCTAAACTTACTGTACCCCATAGTAACTACCCCACTACAGCCTAAACAAACTGTAGTAGATATAACATTTGACACATGGCAGTGTCCAAGGCCTTTGGTGGCGTGAAGGTGATTGCCTGGAACATCAAGCTCGTTGGAGCTGCGTACGTGTGCTACGTGGTAAGCTTTATTGCTGTTTTTACATAATTGATTTCTCAATGCGTGTCTAACATTGCTTCCTTACCACTTAATTGCAGGTTGAATGGCCCATGGCCAACGCGAAGGGAACCAAGGTTCCTGCAATGTCTGGAAACGAGCTGCTCAACAATCAGAACATGGAAAGGAAGACTCAAGAAATTATTTCGTGGCTGAAGGAGTGGTACAATCGTGACCCAAGTGTCTGGAATCCAAGCCACCCTGCTGGATTTTAAATGTGCAAGGCAGTAAAAATTGAGATTGAAAGGTTTGAAGGGCAGCTTTTCCCAGATGGTGTTCCGGCCTAATAGTTTTGTAGTTTCTCTCCTGTATGTGTAATGCAAGCTTATAATTCTAATTGAATGACTCCATAAAATAGCACGTTTTATTAATTTAATATGCATTAATCAAAATTTATATATTAAATAAAATGTACCAGATTGTATTTACTATTTATGTCTTCTTAAATAAATGTGTGTACTGACAGACATAAATCTGAAGTGTATATTATCAAAAGTATATCGTAATCGCATACCGTCACATTATTAACAATCACAAAAGCAGTTGACATTTGATGGTGTATAGATCGTCGGTTTGTTTAAGGGTTGGGTGTCGATGTAACAGAACGCTCGACTGGTAAAAATTCAACCATCGATTGGATGAACCAACCAACCCTGGCAAGATCGCCCCATTCACGAGGGGACGAGAAACAATTAAAGTCCGCTCCAAGTGGCAGTTGACAGTTGCTCACCGACAGTCCACACGAATGACAATCGCCATTTACAGACTTCGATGAGTGCTGCCGTTTCCAGCCTTGAAGATCCAAACCCTCGATCGTCAATGGTCAGCTCAAGCAATCTCGAGATCAAACCATTCACTGCCCTAATTCAGAAGTTCACGCCCTTACCCAGGACCCGAAAATTTCCGATGTCCCATGGCTCTGCGCTGCACCTTAACTCGTCACGATCGACAGAAAACTCCCACTACCACTCCCTCCCCTCACACATATTGTCATGCTTGCCCTTTGCTGCTCGGGTGGGCCCGCTTTCTCACACTCGGCTTGCTCGCTTTCTCACACTTGGCTTACCCGCTTTCTCACACTCGGCTTGCCCGCTTCTCGCACTTGACGGGCCCGCTTTCTCACACTCGGGGGGGTCGCTTTCTCACACTCGAGGGGGTCGCTGTTCTCACACTTGGGGTGGTCGCTTTCTCACACTCGGGGGGGTCACTTTCTCACACTCGTGGGGGTCGCTTTCTCACAATCGGGGGGGTCACTTTGCTCTCCCTCGTCGCAGCACGCAATCCTTCTTTGCTCTCCCTCGTCGCAGCACGCAACCCTTCTTTGCTCTCCCTCGTTGCAGCACGCAACCCTTCTTTGCTCTCCCTCGTCGCAGCACGCAACCCTTCTTTGCTCTCCCTCGTTGCAGCACGCAACCCTTCTTTGCTCTCCCTCGTTGCAGCACGCAACCCTTCTTTGCTCTCCCTCGTTGCAGCACGCAACCCTTCTTTGCTTTCCCTCGTTGCAGCACGCAACCCTTCTTTGCTCTCGCTCGTTGCAGCACGCAACCCTTCTTTGCTCTCGCTCGTTGCAGCACGCAACCCTTCTTTGCTCTCCCTCGCTGCAGCATGCAACCCTTCATTGCTCTCGCTCGCTGTAGCACGCAACCCTTATTTGCTCTCGCTCGTTGCAGCACGCAACCCTTCTTTGCTCTCGCTCGTTGCAGCACGCAACCCTTCTTTGCTCTCGCTCGTTGCAGCACGCAACCCTTCTTTGCTCTTGCTCGTTGCAACACGCAACCCTTCTTTGCTCTCGCTCATTGCAGCACACAACCCATCCACCTCGTGCCTCAGCTCCTGCCGCAATGCATGCGCCACTACCTCCATTTTCTCCGCCCATCTGCTCACTGCATCGTTTTGAGGCACCTCAAAACTACACTGGCTTCATTTTCTCTGTCCATCTGCTCACTGCATCGTCCAATTCCTGCCTCCACTCCTGCCCCACTTCTTGCTATGTCTCTGCCGTACTCCCAACCAGTCCCTGCACTCCATTTGACCTTGCCGCGTCCCATGCCTCATTCTCCTCTGCCACCAGCCTCAACCATGCAGCCAACTCCTCCTTCAGCTGCTCCTGCTGCTGCCACAACTTGTGGAGCTCTTGCTGCACCCTTCTGTAACTCCAGATACCGCAGATTGCATTCCAGGCACAAAGAGGGATGGCTTGATGTGCTGCATATGTAAGGCGGGAGCAGGAGACTACCTGCAGAAAAAAAGACAGAGGCGGGGGCTGTTGGTGCGTGATTCAAAGATCAGTGATGGTTACTGTATAATCACTCACTCCATGTTCCAGCTCGTTAACAGAGCAGTGGCAGAACAACGTTGACCAGCTCACTAATGAGATATGAAAATGCAAGTGGAATAATGGAGCAGAGAGGGCACAGCTGGAACCAGGATGAGGTCACGGAGATGGGGTTGAGGATGGAAGGTCACAGTATACAGTGTGTGCATCACATGTTGTGCTTCGCTGTCTCAACCTACTTGTGCAGAATCAAAGAAAGTCGCACCAGAATTGACATACTAGCAGCCTTAATCCTCTAAAGCTCAGTCCTCAGCTATTGAAGCAGCTTCTTGGCAGCCAGCAAGGTGCAGTGGATGCGAGTGAGGAGGCGGGATAAGGAGATGCCCATGCTGTCAAACTTATATCATATAGCTTGTCTAGGCTATAGTGGGGTAGACACTATGGGGTACACTTTTCCTAGGGTTTCCTACTTGTACCCAACCTTGTGCTAGTTCATTCATTCCTCATTTCTTCACATGGTATAGAGCAGGTTCCCTAGTGGGAACGCTTCCTTGGGCCCACCACTGAAACTTTTTTTTCTGACCGGAGCGCCAGTCGCTCCTGCCCGAGGCGCGCCTTGTGGGCCGCCCTTCTGTCGAGCTCTCTTAGAGGCCCCTCTCACGGCCCCTCGCGCCACCCTTAGCGGCCCCGTCGCCGCCCCTAGCGGCCCCGTCGCCGCCCTTCCAGGCCCTTCGCGGCCCCTAGCGGCCCCGTCGCCGCCCCTACGCGGCCCCGTCGCCGCCCCTAGCGGCCCTGTCGCCGCCCCTAGCGGCGCCGTCGCTGCCTCCCTCCCTACGCGGCCCCGTTGCCGCCCCTACGCGGCCCCGTCGCCGCCCCTAGCGGCCCCGACGCCGCCCCTACGCGGCCCCGTCGCCGCCCCTAGCGGCCCCGTCGCCGCCTCCCTCCCTACGCGGCCCCGTCGCCGCCCCTACGCGGCCCCGTCGCCGCCCCTAGCGGCCCCGTCGCCGCCTCCCTCCCTACGCGGCCCCGTCGCCGCCCCTACGCGGCCCCGTCGCCGCCCCTAGCGGCCCCGTCGCCGCTCCCCTCCCTACGCGGCCCCGTCGCCGCCCCTACGCGGCCCCGTCGCCGCCCCTACGCGGCCCCGTCGCCGCCCCTAGCGGCCCCGTCGCCGCTCCCCTCCCTACGCGGCCCAGTCGGCGCCCCTACGCGGCCCCGTCGCCGCCCCTACGCGGCCCCGTCGCCGCCCCTAGCGGCCCCGTCGCCGCTCCCCTCCCTACGCGGCCCCGTCGCCGCCCCTACGCGGCCCCGTCGGCGCCCCTAGCGGCCCCGTCGCCGCCCCTACGCGGCCCCGTCGCCGCCCCTAACGGCCCCGTCACCTCCTCCCTCCCTACGCGGCCCTGTCGCCGCCCCTACGCGGCCCCGTCGCCGCCCCTAGCGGCCCCGTCACCGCCTCCCTCCCTACGCGGCCCCGTCGCCGCCCCTATGCGGCCTCGTAGCCGCCCCTACGCGGCCCCGTCGCCGCCCCTAGCGGCCCCGTCGCCGCTCCCCTCCCTACGCGGCCCCGTCGCCGCCCCTAGCGGCCCCGTTGCCGCCCCTACCCGGCCCCGTCGCCGCCCCTAGCGAGCAGCCGAGCCGCCGAGCTGCCCAGCAGCTGAGCCGCCGAGCCGCCCAGCAGCCAAGTCGCCCAGCAGCCGAGCCGCCCCTGGAGCAGCCGCCACTGCAGCAGCCGCCCCTGGAGCAGCCGCCACTGCAGCAGCCGCCCCTACAGCAGACGCCCCTGGAGCAGCCGCCCCTGGAGCAGCCGCCCCTACAACTGCCGCCCCTGGAGCAGCCACCCCTGCAGCTGCTGCGGAGCTCTCGCCCTACAGTGGTAGCGGCCTCGCCGTTGCCGCCGTCGTACGCCTGCCCTTCTCGCCACTGGTGAGCACTGCCCTGCCCGTACTACTGTTACTGCTGCTCTTGCTGTTGCTGCTCCTTCTACTGCTCCTGCTGCTCCTGGCGTGGCCAGATGCAGCTCCAGCGTCGCCCGCGTGAGTCCCTCACCCCCCAACAGCTTCGTGAGTGGTACGCTAGTTGGGGTTGTCGGGGTGGCCGTAGTGGGAGTCGTCCTGGAGTGAGTAGTTCCACAGCTGCTTGTAGTGGCCAGGTGCAGCTGCAACGTCGCCCGCGTGAGTCCCTCACCCCCCAACAGCTTCGTGAGTGGTACGCTAGTTGGGGTTGTCGGGGTGGCCGTAGTGGGAGTCGTCCTGGAGTAAGTAGTTTGGCAGCTGCTTGTAGTGGCCAGGTGCAGCTTCAGCGTCGTCCGCGAGCGGTCCTTTCGCCCCAGCAGCTTCGTGAGTGGTACGCTCAGCGTGACGGGTCACGGGGTACTGCTCGCTGTCCGTACGTCATTCGCACTGGTGCTCGGACTGGTCAGCCTTACGGGACGTTGGGTCACGCAGAGTCCCGCTGCTTCGCCCGTCTGAGCGACGCCTGGCGTACGGAGTTTGGCGACGCGGCTGAGCTCCCCGACTGGGTGGAGCTGCTTCGGCTGCGGGTAGATATCTATACTCTTGACTATGATGCTATCCTCACTGCCATGTATGCATTGCCTACTAGTGATGAGGGTGACTGTTACCTGTGTGTTCCGCCTGACCCGGGCATTTAGGCTGCTGCTCTAGGTGCTGGTGAGGCTGCTGCTCTAGGTGCTAGTGCGTCTGCTGCCCCAGGTGCTGGTGAGTCTGCTCTCTCAGGTACCACGTCGGCTCAGGCCTTACACACCTTCACTCTTGACTCGGGTGCTTCCCGCTCCTTCTTTCGAGACCGCACCACGCTTACGCCGCTCAGTCGGCTGGTTGCGGTCTCCCTGGCGGACCCCTCTGGGGGTCCTGTCCTTGCTCGCTTCTCCACTGTCTTACCCTGTCCGGCAGCCCCCTCTGGCACCCTGTCAGGTCTCTACCTCCCCTCGTTCTCTACAAACTTGGTGAGTGGTGCTGATCTACAGGATCGGGGGGTTGACCAGTTCACTCCTGCGAGTCAGCGGGTGACCCACTGTACGTGTGCGCGGACGGGCCGACACTTGGCCACGTTTACCCGTCGGCCGGGGTCGAGCCTGTACACACTGACTACTGAGTCTCCTCCGGTTGCTGAGTCTGGTCAGGTAGCTGCGTCGAGTCAGGTGTTTGCTGCAGCGTCCAGGTCTGGTCCTGAGTCTGCTCCCTGCTCGTGTCGTCTCCTGTCCCACCAGACTCTCCTTTGGCACCACCGCCTTGGTCACCCCTCCCTGCCTCGTCTCCGAGGCATGGCCTCTCGTGTCCTTGTCTCTGGTCTCCCCCGGTCCCTACCTCCCCTACCTCCGGGGCCTGCCCCTACCTGCGTCCCCTGCGTCGAGGGGCGACAGTGCGTCGCCCCTCACTCCTCCGAGTTTCCTCCGACAGAGGCTCCGCTGCAGACTCTTCACATGGACGTGTGGGGCCCCGCCCGCGTCCGTGGCCAGGGTCACGAGCGTTACTTCCTGTTGGTGGTTGACGACTACTCGCGTTACACCACGGTGTTCCCCTTGCGCAGCAAGGGTGACGTCACTGAGGTGTTGATCGACTGGATCCGCGCAGCTCGTCTCCAGCTCAGAGAGAGTTTCGGCTCGGACTTTCCTGTTCTGCGTCTGCACTCTGACAGAGGCGGGGAGTTTTCCTCTGCCCGTCTGGGAGCCTTCTGTCAAGCACAGGGCATCCGCCAGACCTTCACGCTTCCGGCCTCTCCACAGCAAAATGGGATTGCTGAGCGCCGCATTGGCATGGTCATGGACGTCGCTCGTACGTCCATGATCCATGCGGCTGCTCCCCATTTTCTGTGGCCGTTTGCGGTTCAGTACGCAGCGCATCAGCTCAACCTTCAGCCCCGGGTCTCCTTGCCAGAGACCTCCCCCACCTTGCGGTGGACGGGGAAGGTTGGCGATGCGTCTGCGTTTCGGGTCTGGGGATCTCGGGCGTTTGTCCGCGACTTGTCTGCGGACAAGCTGTCCCCCCGTGCTGTTCCCTGCGTCTTCCTTGGCTTCCCCCCTGACGCGCCTGGTTGGCAGTTTTACCACCCCACCTCGCGCCGTGTTCTGTCCTCCCAGGACGTCACCTTTGACGAGTCGGTGCCTTACTACCGTCTCTTCCCCTACCGTACTGCGCCCCCCCCCCCGCCGCCGCTCTTCCTTGCGCCAGGTCCTCCCCCGGTAGACCCTCTCCCCCCTCAGGGTCCCGCCCCGTCAGGTGTGTCACAGGTAGACGCAGTCGAGCCTGTCGAGGTAGCTGTTGACTCTGGTGCTGCTAGGGGCGCTGAGCCTGCGGGTGCTGAGTCTAGGGGTGCTGAGCCTGGGGGTGCTGAGTCTGGGGGTGCTGAGTCTGGGGGTGCGGAGCCTGGGGGTGCTGAGCCTGGGGGTGCTGAGTCTGGGGGTGCTGAGCCTGGGGGTGCGGAGCCTGGGGGTGCTGAGCCTGGGGGTACGGAGCCTGGGGGTGCGGAGCCTGGGGGTGCTGGGTCTGCTCGTGTGGCCTCTGGCGGTGCTTCGTCGAGGCGGGAGCTACTCTCTCCGCAGGGGCTGCGCGAGTGGTTTGCCCGGCGCTGGAGCCGTGCTGCTGGAGCTCGAGGTACTACTGGTG